ATGTGGATGTTGATGAGCTGGAGAGCTCCCACGGTGCTACATATGTCAGGAAAAAAGCTGCTAAGGTTGCAGGGGAAAACCTTCCGAAGGAACAAGGGTAAAGGATTTAAATTCTCAAAATGCCTATTTTTTTCTTCTACTGAATATGTTGTCTTACAGTGAAGCGGATGTCAAAAAGAAGAAAAAGAAAAAGAAAGGTGGGATGAACAATGAGTTGGCTTAAGTAGCCAAGTAGCCATTGTTGGTTAAATGATGACTGAAATATTTCCTTTTTTTTTTTTTTTTTTTTTTTTTTTTTTTTAGGTAAACTTCCGAAGAACTATGACCCCAAAGCTACCCCAGACCTTGAAAGATGGCTGCCAATGAGAGAGCGCTCCTACTACAGAGGCAAGAAGAAGGGCAAAAAGAAGGAGCAAATTGGCAAAGGCACACAAGGAGCAACAGCTGGAGCATCTGCTGAACTGTAAGCCAAATAATTGTGTACATATATAATATAATATATTATATATATTATAATTAATAGCTAGATAGATTGATTTTATATTGTAGTCGTACTTTTCATTCATATTCTTAGTAAATCTCAGTCATATTTCCAGTCCCATGTAAACTTTCACTGATGCTTTTAGTTCCTGCCTCTTTCTCATTGAATTTGCATATGGCGACAGAAATTAATTGATGAATAATTACATTTTACACATTTACTTTACTGTTTTCAAATGAATAAACACATTACATTTTTTGCATACATTTTTAAAGCTGTTAATATCATATGCATCATATCTCTTTTTGTAGTGATGCCAGTAAGACAGCCAATAGTCCCCCCACATCACCAAGACCAGGATCTGCATCTGGAACATCTTCCGCTGCTGCTAGTAATGTAGTCCCTCCCCGACAGCAAAAACCGGCAGCCTCAGGGGCCACGCGCAAAAAAGCACCGCAGAAGAAGAAGAAAGGAGGAAAAGGAGGCTGGTAGTTCAGTGGTTGACAGAAAAATCACAAATTTTAAAAAATATCTTTTGTTTACGGTCATTAAATATCAGAATGCCCTATGTTTTGTATAAAAAGCTCTGGTAAAAATTGTCACACCAGAAAAGGCCCAACAAGAATGTTGATTTGGAGCTTTATTTTTTATTCTGTGTTACATCCCACTTACTTACAAGGAAGCCACAGTCAAGTCTGAAATGACTGCAGTACTGCTCACTACATATTTGTTTATCTAATTTAGCCATATAATGTCTGTCCTGTGTTGTAGGAATCAGATCAATAAAAATAGTAGGCTACACACATAAACTTTTTACTTGAGAAAAGCTAACTGTTTATTAGAATGAAATTAAATGCAAAATGGCTGACCTGTGTTATAAACTCTCTTGGTTGTTAAGTAAACAAAATTATTTAAATTAGTGAATTCAAAGCATGGTTTAAAAATATTATTTTATCCAAAAAAGGTCCCTCCTTTGATCTTAATAATAAAAAAATAAAAAAAACACAAATAAATCTTCCTGGTATTTCATCATTTTAATTAAAGTTTGAGTTTAGATAAGGATTTAATGCAGGGTAAGGATTTAATGCAGGGGTGTCCAAACTGTGGCCTGGGGGCCAATTGCGGTTCCTTACTAGTTTTCGTTGGCCCTCAAGTCACCTGCTAAATTGACCAAAATGACAGGAGTCCTGCTTTTGACTGCAAATTAGTATTTCTATAGGCTAACTGTGTTAGGATATTGCATTGTGATACAGACTTAAAACAGGCCATACAGTCAGGTGGTGTGGCTCTATAAAAATGCTTCTCTGTGAAAGTCTTGCTCTATCAAGTCTGCTACAACTATGTTTTCGATGAAAAGGTGAAAACTCCTGAGCTAATAGTGGAGCTGTTAAGGACCAAAAAAGTGCCCAATTGTTCACTTTTATGGTACAAGCATGAAACTTTACCAGATTATTAACATCCGTAGGACCAACATTTCTGGATATGGAACCAAGCCTAAGTCGACCCTGGAGCCAAGTACTGCGCATGTCACAAAATTGGTAACATGGAAAAGAGGCTGGTAGCTAAATTACTGCTTAAACCACCTTTTTGTAAAATAATGTTAAATTATCGCACGCTATCATTAATGCTTCCACTTATGCGGATATGAGTAACCCAAGACTCTTACAACCATATGTACAGTACTGGGAAATAAGCAGGAATCTTATATTGGTTATATTGGATTTATAGCACCGTTAGAAGGCTATATGGTGAAAAATGGACATAGGTGAATAGGTAGAAACAGAGATTAAAAGAAAGCATTTAAGATTAGACTACCAACTGGACGAATGCAGCATGAAGCAAAAGGTGCAATATGTAACTTTTTGGTCGGGAGTCCGCCACATGCTTGTTTCTATGGATATGTCATTGCGGATGTCCCGCAGTATGACATTAAACAGCTCTACTTTACATTTATTCTATTATAGGTGGTTTTATAGCTCAAAAATACTTAGAAAAACAGACATTCTGAATGTGAGCAGTATCGCCTCTCCACAGATTTGACCTGTAACTTGGTCTGGTTTGGTCTATATAATGATAGCAAGTTTTAATACTATTCTGTGAAACATTCCAGAGCAATGACATCTCCATGAAACAAGCATTTGATGGATCCTCCACCAGAAATTACATAATGCTTTTAAAATTAATTTTTCTATCAAAAATTATTTAGTTTATTAGTTTAATTGAATCTCATGTGATAACTCAAATTCTGTTACAGTTACTTTCTCATTTGGTGGCAGTCAGAATACAGTTACTTTCTTAAACTGTAAGGAATAATGGCAGTACTTTATCGTGTAATAAAAACACAATATTAGTTTAAATGAATCTCAGGTGATAACTCAAACTATGAGAGAACAACAATTAGGTACAATGTAAAACTTAGAAATTTAGAATCATATGTATGGTACTGGGAAATAAGTATTCTACTCTTACATTGGTTTTTCATAGCACAGTCAGAAGGCCCCAGACAATATGGATACATATTGTAAATGGGCAGAAATAAAGAGAGATTTAAAACAAGGTATTTAAATTGTACTATATCTAGACAATGCAGACAATGAGCTTCAGTGTCTGGACAATAAACCCCAATGTACGCATATTTTCAAGCAAAACATGTATAAAAACTGTATTTGTTTACTCTTAAGTGCCTGCAAAGTAAGATAATCTCATTGTTCACATAGCGCACTGGCTTATGTCTAACTTAACATCATATGCATGGTATTGGAAAGAAAGAAATAATTCATGGCATAGTTGTTGTTGCCATACTGGCTTGTCAAAGCCTGATCCCATCAAATCTCAGAAGCTAAGCAAGGTTGGGCCTGGTTAGTACTTGGATGGGAGACCACTGGGAATTCCAGGTGCCACAGTGGGGCGCCAGTCGCAAAAAGCTGTCATTGTGTCCTTAGGCAAGACACTTTACCCACGTTGCCTAGTATGAAAGTGGCGTGTGCGTGAGTAATGGTGGTGGTCGGAGGGGCCGATGGTGTAGATTGGCAGCCTCGCTTCTGTCAGCCTGCCCCAGGGCAGCTGTGGCTACAGTAGCTTACCATCACTGAGTGTTGAATGAATGAATAATGAACTATAAAGCGCTTTGGGTATCTTGAAAGTTGCTATATAAATGCAATGATTAATTTAAAAAGGTATTTAAGATTAAAACAAATACATCTGGACAAGTTTTTCAAGCAAAATATGTTTAAAGTACACATATAAAGTATATTGGTTTAATTGAATCATATAAAGACATAATACAAAGACACAAAATACTCTCCATGGAGAAAAGTATTTGAGGGACTCTCCATCTGAAAAGTTACATAATGCACCTTTAAGTGTTTTTTTTTTTTTTTCAGACTTGGTATTTTAATTAGCTAGCATCCATCCATTCATTTTCTTCCACTTATCCAGGGCTGGGTTGCAGGGCCAGCAATCATAGCAAGGATGCCCAGACTTTCTTCACCCCACACACTTCCTCCAGCTTCTCCGAGGTGACCCCAAGGTGTTCCCAGTTCAGCCGAGACAGCCAGCCTGTCCTGAGTCTTCCCTGGGGCCTCCTTCCGGCGGGATATACGCAGAACACCTCCCGAGGGAGGCGCCCAGGAGGCATCCGAAACAGATGCCTGAGCCACCTCAGCTGGCTCCTCTCAACGTGGAGGAGCAGTGGCTCTACTCCGACCTCCTCCCCTGTGACCGAACTCCTCACCCTACATCTAAGGGAGCACCCAGCCACCCCGTGGAGGAAACTCATTTCGGCTGCTTTTATCCGCAAAGCCCAAAGCTATTAGCTAGCATTTTCTGTATATTGTGTGTATATTATATATACTGCACTTTTCTGGACTGAGATTTCTGTTGTTTTTCCTGGTATCTGCTGTAGCCCCTTCTTCAATTCGGAGATTACAGCCCCAAGTGCACCGATCAACAAAGGCACCATTGATGCCTTCACCTTCCAAGTCTTCTCCAGCTCTTCCTTGAGCCCCTGGTATTTCTCTAGTTTTTTTTGTTCCTTTTTCCTGATATTACCATCGTTTGGCATTGCAATGTCCACCATGGCTTTGTTCTGTTGCTTATCTACCACCACTATGTCTGATTGGTTCGCCATTACCATTCTGTCAGTCTGTACCTGAAAGTCCCACAGGATCTTGGTTCAATCATTCTCCACAACCTTTCTCCAACCCTTACATTCTCGAGTAAAACGCTCACGTCATGCTTTGGAATTTAGAAAAAAAATAGTTGTTCAGCATTACAAAACTGATACTTACACTATAAGAAAGGGATTATACAGAATTATGCCAGCCTCGTTTTCATATAGTCCATTTTGAGACATGCGCAGTTCTCAGCTTCAGTGTTAAATTAGACTTGGTTCCATTTCCAGAAATATTAGTCCTGGTGTTAGTAACCTGGCAAAGTTTCACGCTTGTATCATAAAAGCGAACTAATTTGGTCCTTAACAGCTCCACTATAAAGCATAATAAAGCTCCACTTATGCGCGGATTTGATTGGTGGAAGACAAACCCTCCCACTTGTGTATCATGTTCACTTAACAATGGAGACGGTTCACCTGAATGCTCTGCGCTCACAGCCCTCAGCGCTCACACGCTGTCTTTAGGTTGTGTGGACACAGCACGAAGACAGGATGCCGCGGAAATGGCCCCCGTACTCCAATTATTTTGACCCTCTTTTCACCGAGGACGTGGAGGAGCTGCTTGCACGTTTCCAACAAACTGACACCGTGAGGTTTGAAGCATTTTTGGCCATTTGGAGAGAAATGCGCTTCTCTGACGTCTATTACGGGATGCACTGTATGAGTGAGATGAAAAGATTTTGCAGGGTCACATTGGCCACTGCGGTGAAGTACTTCCTACCTCCGTACAGTTACCAAATCCGAGCTGGAGGCTTGTACTTGATGTATGGGCTTTATTACAGCCAGCTTGCCATACCACCTGTGAGTATTCGAATTGCTTTGAAAGACTGGAGTCACGTGGAGAAATTTATCCAGGACTCTATCAATTCTGGGCATTATGATGTTGTTTACATCTTTAAGAAGCTCGTTGCCAAGAAAGCCATACATTACAGTGCTATGCCAAATTTCCTGCATTTCCGCAAACAAAGAACCCCAAATAGAGAAACTCTATGTGCAGATTTCTTTGGAAGGAGCTCTGTTGTCCAGGATCTCCTTTCTGCAGATATTTTGGAGGAGATGAGCAACATTCAAAATCACTATGAAAGGATGAAAGCAGCCATGCCAGAGGTCCACTCAAAGACATCTATGACCCATCGAGATTTGGTCACCAACCTCAAGGACTGCATGTCAGAATTCATTGTTTGGCAGAACAAAACATTTCCACTAAACAAAAGGAAGGACCAAGATGAAGAAAGGGAAGAGGAAACCGTGGAAGAACCAAGCAACAGGGCTAAATTACTGTCTTCCATTAAGCAGAAAAGCTTCAGTAATTTGCAAGAGGGGCCTAAAGCGCGACGACATCGGCCAGTGGAGGTGGTCAGTGAATGCCGCTCAGGAGTTGAGAATGTGCAGACTTTGACTTCATCTACCTCACGCAAGAAGAGGCCTCAGTCTCTGTTCCGACGCACAAAGAATAAATTTGGTGTAACTGAGAACAAGAGGTCGTTCAATAACTGGCTCTTGACTATTCCAGAGAAGATCCCAGATGATCGCGCTCTGGACCCACTGAATCACGTCTCATAAAACGTGATTTTTTTCATTGAAGTTTGAATTATTAAATGAAAGCCATTCACAACTTGCAGAGAGAGCTACAATTGGAATATAATTTTGTTCAACATTGGGGGAAAAAAATGTATTTACTTACTAAAGTTTAGTTATTAGCTATTTGGAGAAAAAAAGCTGAGCTTGATCTTTAATTTGTGAAGTAAGATCAGATAAAAAAATAAATAAAAATTTACTCATAGGTTACCACATGAATAATCTCATAATAGTTGTGATTCACATTGTATGTTTTTGTTTATTTGTTAGGTTTTGTTTTTTCAGAATAAAATGCCCTTTGAATATAATTATCTCACTATATTTATTTATGTTTAATACCACAAATGACTTGCAGTAAGGAAAATCTCAATGTAAGACTAAATCAATCCCGTGATTTACTCTACAGTGAGTGCAGAATAATGTTGTAGTCATGGAGCTACTGCATACAGAACATTTATGAAATGTGGCCACAATAATACAGCCACAGACCCTGTCATAGTCTTTGTGAACAATAAAGACAACTCAGTGTGCCGATTTAAAGGCTCTCACTCCTCTGCTGACAGACTGTGTGCAGCCTGGATCACAGCACAAACTGAGACTGGCCATTCTGTACACCCTTAGAAATGTGTTGAGTCTCTGGAGTGTATAATTTTTATTTATTTATAAAACATTTTTGTCCCCTTAATTTCAGGAATTATTCTAATCTTTGAAATTTAAGCAAACAATGTTACACCAAGTGTTTAATGAAACTAAAACATCTTTCACATTTAAAATGGAATTATTGAAAGAAACATTACATTTTATAATTTCATGGATGTCCCCGCTCCACTCAAGTGATCAGTGCTCTCTCTGCTGGTCACTATAGCAGTGTACAACAACAAACCGTACCGGAAGTGCTGTCTCGAAAAGTTCCTGGGAGCTTCCTGTCAGCCATCCACTTGTTGAAAAATAGGTTGCGGATACACAACGAAACTCGCCTAACCTGAGACCCGATGTAACTAAAAATATAGAAAACGAAAACAAAAGATCTTGCCATGGTTGGTTTGAGAGGTATGGGCGTTTTAGGCGCGTCAGTGGTTATCGCCGGGGGTGTGGCATATCTTGTTTGGAATTACCACTCGAAACGGAAGACGCCTGAGCCACCTGCCAAAGAAGCAGAAAAAACAACAGAAGAATCCAGCAACTCAATCAATCAAGGCGGAGATGGAGACGAGGGTGTTAAAGTCGAGGTGATTCAGTCTGTTTCTGCTCCTGTTGTGGCCACAGAGTTAAGGGTACAGTCTACAGCTGTGGTAAGTTTACTTGCATTTTACCCATTTTATTATGTTTTAAAAAATCATAACCATGTGTTGTAGTCTGAGACTGTCAAGCCTCGTGGGACACAAGTGCTGGTGCTAGGATTGGATGGAGCGGGCAAGACAAGCCTTTTACACTCTTTCACAAACAGCTGGTCAGGAGAGGAGCCACAGCCTACACAAGGACTCAACGCTGTATCTATCAGCAGAGAGGACCTGTCCATTGAATTTCTTGAAAGTAGGTTTTCTATTCATGTTAAATACAGAAAAAAATAAAAAATAAATTCCTACCATCCAGGGATAGGATATCATACCCCATTTCAGAAAGGTCAAATATCATCATTGCATTACAAGGATGGGAGTCCAAAGAGAACATTTAGCAGCCTTATTACAATAATCAGATAAGCGTTACCTAAAACGAAAAGCTTAACTCTGATTATAGACTTTTCTGTTCTAAAGGGATGATGGGAGTAATGATGCTAAATCTTGTTTATATAAAGTTCTTATAAAGTTCCAACTCAGCCCTTTGAGAATTGTGATGTTTTGATAACATGGTTGTTGCTTTACCAAAGTATCTTGTGTGTGTCTTGTCAGTTGGTGGGAGTGTGGAGCTAAGGCAGTACTGGCTAAAGTACATGCCCAAGGCCCTGATGCTGGTGTATGTGGTGGATGCCTCAAATCCACAGCTCTTCCCATTGGCTAAATCACATCTTCATGAAATTCTAGTGACAGAGCCTCATCTACCCTTGATGGTGCTGGCCAACAAACAGGTGAGATCTGACCCCTCACCTCATTTGATTAATTCACCCATTCTTTTCACACTTTTTACACTGTAATTAATTTTGAACAAACATGGAAACCATGCCTTTTATTTACATTTCAAATCAATCACCTCTATCAAGTCTTCAATGTAATCTTTCTTTTGATATTGATATTTTTAGTAGTTTGATATTGTAACAAACCATATTTGTCATATAGTGTGTTGTGCTACCCTAAATTTGTAGTAAGAAAAATAACTTGTCTGGTTCTTGTAGGACTGTGCTGGTGCATGTACCATCACTGACCTCCATGAAGCCCTGTCCCTGTCTGAGCTGGGAGATCGGAAGTTGTTTGTGATTGGCACCTATGTTACAAAAGACATGGAGGAGCCCAGTTCAGCAGTGGAGGATGCGTTGGAGATCATTGTTGAAACAATCCAGACACCGAGATAAAATGCACTGGCTTTTGGGACATGTGTTTGTGGTTTGATGGTTTGCACTTTCCCAGCTAGTTTGAGTTTACTAGATTTTGATTATTTCCTGCAAAAATTATGTTATTTAACTTCACTTAAAAAACAAAACAAAACAAAACAAAAAAAAAACTCAAACTGAAGAGAGCTATGTAGTCACATTTTGTGCAGTTATCTTTTTGCACTCAATACCCACAAAGATTTATTTGGAGGCACATCATTATTTGGGGGCACATCAGCCAAAACGAAATACCAACCTTTGCTGGTGAGTTAAGGCCGATAGCTAATATGCTAAAAAGTACAAACATTGGCCCCATGTATCTCTTATTTGTTTGCTTCTGTTTCTCAATGTCTTTGTTGCTTCTAATGTAGCTTTGGAAAGGACATTAACAGGCTTCCACTGATGTTTTGTGCGAAAACAGATTGTATTTCCACCAAAGATGACATATCTTTTTAAGCTGACCACCCAAATTCAGTGACCATCTTAAGTATACAAGCTGAATACAGCTTGTATACTTAAGCATTTATGGCTGTACAGGATATAGATTCCAACTACTTGTTGGTTATTTGCGTAAATAATGCCAGATGTACTGATCATTTCTACATGTATTGCATAACTATAATTAATTTCCAATTTATTACTCTCCCAGGAAACTACAAGACAGTATGTTTTTCTAGTGAAGATTTTTTGAATAAACACTGAGTATTTGTGTTGTTGTACTAAAGTTCCTGCATAGGATTTCTTTAACTCCTAATGCAACTTAAAATAATATGTTGCACTGAGAGAGACTAGAGACCATTCAAAAGTTGTCCCCGATCTCAGTAATTCTTTCAAACCTAATTTGTACAATGCAGAGTATAAATTTAATCTTAACACCTCCTGGACCGAAAAATGTTACTCCTGAGTCCAAACCTGCATATTACATAAAATGACCCAGAGAACAATACACATTTATTCGTCATAAATGACAACACTGTACAACAAATATTTGAAGTAGATTCTTCTCATTGAAAAGGTGTGTTTCCCTAAAATGACACTATTTGAAAGTTGTTTCTTTGCATTTTCTGAAAACTCCATCATATGATAATCATCAGGTTATGAACTCTCATATCGCTCTTATGCATCATTCCAAGCCATTCCGGACTTTGTATTCGTGTACGTCTGTGCGGTGTTGTTTAAAAAGCTGCAAGAAAATAAGCAATAAGATTTAAAACATTACTCTCTGCCAAGAACATGTATCCACGTATAAGAAAGAGGCGTGCAATGTGTGGTAGAACTAAAACGTAATTACCAGTCCCCATAGAAATACAGTTGAACCCAAGGCAAGGCCCACTCTGATCCAGTTTGGGTTGTTCAGGTCAGGCTTAGAACTTGTGAACATGGTCCTCGAACCAACTATGTAGAAATGCAACCAAACACAGAAATACAATAATGTCATTGTTTCATAAAAGCTAAAATGTACAACAGGGGAAAAGCAGTTTGCATACAGTATGCCTACAGAAACGAGCATTAACATGGATACGTAAAGATATAACTAACACCACATTAAAACCAAATGATAAATGCTAAAGGAGAGGCTAGGCTAAGGTCAGGCTTCAAAACGAGTATTACTTCGCATTAAATATATTATAGGAAAAATTAAGCAGCAACATGTGTCTGTGTGGCGCAGCCTCACCTCTGCTGTTCAGGACAGCTCGTGATAATAACAGGCTAAATGTCATTTTATCCCCTTTTCCTCCACTCAAACTCAACACCACAACACACAGCCCACAGCCGACACTGAAGCGTCCTCTTCTTAAACTGTCAGCGCACGATCGCCCCCTTGCGTACCACACTTTTATGACCGGTGGCTGAAGTTACAACAAATAAACTATAAACATTATAATTGTGCCTTTGACAACACATACTTAGAAATTCCGATGTTTTTCCGGCAATTTTCTCTCGTTAATTTCCAAACTTGGGGTCCCCGGTGGTGTTTGGCCGTGGACCCGCAGGCTCAGGGGCTCAGGGCTCAGAGCATCCATGAGCCTGACCCGGAGGAGAAGCAAGCGCAGCAGCAGCCATTTTGCTCAGAAGGGGGCCTTGGCTTCAACACGTGAGAGAGGAGTTTTCAAACAGTTCAGCATCTCTGCCTCTCAGGAGATTATTCATGCGGTAACCAACAGAGCCATAGGAAGCCAACAATGCCCGCAATTATCCTACCGCCGAAGGAGAATGCCCTCTTTAAGAGAATATTGGTAGGCAACACATTGTTCATGACGTTAGCCTATAAGCTAATGCTAGTTTGTAGCAACATCTGTAGCACAGAGGCAGGGAGTTAGTCCTTTAACACAAAGCAAAACAAAGCCAAGTGGAGAATTGTACCTCTATTAAGTCTAACTTTAACACTTTGATCCTAGTGCTTATTCAAGAGTTATAATGTTAAGTATGCATAAAACATTTGGCCTGCACCTAGTGGGGATGTCACTTGTACAGTGCTTGACACATGACAGCTATCACACGCTGAGCTCTTGAGGTGACAGAAACGAACACTGATAGAACTACCGAGTGTCATTCACTCGCACATGAATGCACAGATATTGTTCTAATATTGATGTTGGATACTTCATTAAAGGAAGTTGGCTGTCTCATGTAAAAACCTTCAAGGTGCCAAGTTTCCGGAAAGCACAATTGATAAAACAGTGTTTTTATTTGTGTTGGTCCACATTGTTTTAGGCCTACGTATCCGCTGTTGGAATCAAAATATGAAGATGAGTATTGATTGGCTAAATAATTTTAAATTGTTGATCACTTTATAGGATTTTATATGTGTTTATGGTTTGTATCCTGTTAAAACTGCTCCAGTAAATTGGACATACATAATGAACAATGCCTTATTATATTGGGTTATTACTTGTGTTGTAAAATAACTTATTGCCTTTTGCTTCAGAGGTGTTATGAACACAAGCAGTACAGGAATGGACTGAAATTCTGCAAGCAGATTCTGGGCAACCCAAAATTTGCAGAACATGGAGGTAAGAGCAAAGGAATCTAGAAACCTGTTATTTCAGCTGCGTCCAGACTCCAGAGTATATTGGATTATACATTTTAAATACCTCCAGAAGTTTTACAGAATTAATCTTTGGACTTGCTTGCTGTGTCTGCCAAGCTGTAACTTTCATTATTCACCCAGTTAGCAAAATGCATTTCACCAATTGAATAAGTTGATGGTACAATTGTTACTTTAGTCAGAACTCACAATAAAGTAGATTCTACTGTGTGATGTGTATCTCACTTTTGTGTTTCAGAGACGCTGGCAATGAAAGGTTTAACTCTAAACTGTTTAGGAAAGAAAGAGGAGGCTTATGATTTGGTGCGACGAGGTCTACGCAATGATCTCAAGAGTCATGTCTGTATCCTTTTTCCATGGTCTTAAAATTGTGCATACTCCCTCACGTAGTTGTTGTATCCAGTTTTTCCTTTGCATATTTTTTTTCCTTAACTCAGTTGCCTTTTAGGCTGGCATGTTTATGGTTTACTGCAGCGCTCAGATAAAAAGTATGACGAGGCCATCAAATGTTACCGAAATGCACTGAAGTGGGACAAAGATAATTTACAGATTCTCAGAGACTTGTCCCTGCTGCAGATTCAGATGCGGGATTTGGAGGGATATAGGGTGAGCAGAAAACAATGACATAGGTTTGTCAGGTCCTGACTGATTTGAAAGTTACGGCTTTGCTTTCCCTTCACAGGAGACTCGGTATCAGCTGCTTCAGTTGCGCCCAGCCCAAAGAGCCTCATGGATTGGTTATGCTGTCGCCTATCATCTGCTTGAGGATTTTGAGATGGCTGCTAAAATAGTGGAAGAGTTCCGGAAAACACAACAAGTAATAAAAGAATTGGAAATCCCAAATTGATATACTAAAACTTCAAAGCTTTTTTTAAATTTGTTTAGACATCTCCAGACAAAGTGGACTATGAGTACAGTGAACTGCTGCTTTATCAGAACCAAGTTCTGAGGGAGGCTGGTTTGTACAAAGAAGCCCTTGATCACCTCAACAATTATGAGAAACAAATTTGTGACAAACTGGCTGTGGAGGAGACCAGAGGTGAATATTAATTTATTTCTTTTTTCGTGTATATATATATCCATATTTCATTAATTTCATATTTCAGCACTTATTGATGGCATGTCTATTCCTGTATGTAGGAGAGCTGCTGTTGAAGCTATGCAGGCCTGAGGAGGCTTTAGACGTGTACAGCAGACTCCAGGAGAGGAACCCAGAGAATTGGGCCTACTATCAAGGAATAGAAAAGTCATTAAATCCAGGTGAGGTGAATGCTCAAAGATTCATTCCTAATCACAAAAATACTTTTTAATTTTCAAATTTGATTGGATTGTGCTCTACAGGTAGTATAGAAGAGCGTTTTAAAATTTACGAAGAAGCTTGGGTGAAGTTCCCTAAAGGCTTGGTCCCCAGAAGACTTCCTCTTAGTTTTCTCAGTGGTAAATGATTTATACATTTTTATTTCTAGAGTTCTTAAGTTTTATTAAATTTGAGCTTTGGTTTATTAAATATAGGTGAGAAGTTCCGTGAATGTTTAGACAGTTACCTAAGGATGAACTTCAGTAAAGGCTGCCCACCTGTCTTCACTACCCTCAAATCTCTTTACACTGATAAAGACAAGGTAAAACCTTGCTGTTGTTCATATATCAATGTTAACCATGTTATTGTCGTCATAAATCATCATGTTTCTTTGTTGAGGCAGGTTTCAATTATTGAAGAACTGGTAGTTGGGTATGAGACTTCTTTAAAAAGCTGCCGGATGTTTAGTGAAAATGGTAAGGCTTGTTTTAATGAGCAAAACATTCTAGTCTTTTATAAACTTTATACATTGGCCCCAAACTCTCTGTGTGACAGATGATGGTAAGGAGGAACCCCCAACCACTCTTTTGTGGGTACAATATTTTCTGGCACAACACTTTGATTTTGTTGGGCAGTCCAGTGTTGCATTAGAATACATCAATGCTGCCATAGACAGCACACCCACTCTTATTGAGCTATTTGCCATCAAAGCCAAAATTTACAAGGTAATGTAACTTTTTAAAAAATAGATTTTTCTTTCACAAGTGAAATGCAGATGCATTATCTTGTTTTCTAACTTCAGCATGCAGGCAACATCAAGGAAGCAGCTCGATGGATGGACGAGGCACAGGCCCTGGACACGGCTGACCGCTTCATCAACTCGAAGTGTGCCAAGTACATGCTGAAGGCCAACCTGGTCAAAGAAGCAGAAGAGATGTGCTCCAAGTTCACAAGAGTAAAACAACTCCATCCAAGCAGTGTTGTAACCAAGTCATGCTTGTACTAAATGTTACTTTGCTACAGGAGGGAACATCTGCGATTGAGAACCTGAATGAGATGCAATGTATGTGGTTCCAAAGTGAATGTGCCTTAGCTTATAAGGCCATGAACAAATATGGAGAAGCATTAAAGAAGTGCCACGAGATTGAAAGAGTAAGTTTGGGGTCATCTGACAATTATGTTTTTATTCACTATTAGAATTCAAATAGAGCTACACCTTCCTTGAGAGTAGATGGTTTAAGTGGGCCAAAATGGACTGTTATGAAATATGATTTCTTATATTTGCCTGATGTAACCAAATTTTTAAACCTTGCTTTCAAAGTAGTAACATGACATTTCACTCTTCTCAGCATTTTGTAGAAATTACAGATGACCAGTTTGACTTTCACACCTACTGTATGCGTAAGATGACCTTGCGCTCCTATGTGGACCTATTAAAGCTTGAGGACGTCCTGCGGCAGCATCCATTTTATTACAAAGCTGCTCGCACAGCTATTCAAATCTACCTGGACCTGCATGACAAGCCTCTGACTGATGACAGCAAGGAGAGCCAGGCTGACACTGGTATGTGTTCACAAGTACATCTGTGTGTCATAAATTTTGAGTGCATTAGTGGTTTATGGGATAAAGTAAAATGATATATTAAATGATTATTGTCCCTTTTCCCATTTCATAGAAAATTTGACAGACAAAGAGCTAAAGAAGCTACGCAATAAACAACGCAGAGCTCAGAAAAAAGCCCAGTTGGAGGAGGAAAAGAAGAATGCAGAGAAGGAAAAACAACTCAAGAACCAGAAGAAAAAGAAAGAGGATGATGATGAGGAGATTGGAGGACCCAAGGAAGAGCTAATACCAGACAAACTGGCTAAGGTGTGCTGCACTTGACTCCCTGTTCGCTCTTGTGTAAATCAGGTATTTAACCACAGAATGTTTTTCCATCAGCCTGAGAACCCACTGGAGGAAGCTGTCAAGTTCCTCATGCCTCTGAAGAACCTAGTCCGGAACAATATTGAAACGCACCTGCTAGCCTTTGAAATCTACTTCAGAAAAGGTCTTGAATGATATGCTGTAGTTTAAAAGGCTTGAATATGACCATTGAGGGCTTTGGCAATTTTGAGAATGTTAAAAAATATGGGAAAAAATACTAGAACAAGACAATCTTTTAGGCTTATTTTCCTTGCATATATTGTCCTAATGCTACCGTTGTCTTTTCTGCCCTTCAGAAAAGTACCTGTTAATGTTACAGTCCATAAAGAGAGCTGTCGCTATAGAACCGTGTAACCCATGGCTGCATCAGTGTTTAGTCCGCTTCTTTAAAGGAGGTGAGTGCAATACCGAGCATGGAATTGTCACACATGATTTTCACCTGAGCTGAATAATGAAAGATAATTTGTATTTGTTTTCAGTTAATGACAATGGTGACTTGGCTGAGGCAGTGAGGACAGTACTCCGGCAAGAAATTGCCAGACTTTTTGGAGAGAGCAATCCGCAGAGTTTCAACAAGAATTACCTGAGCCAAAACTCCAACTCCATCCCACACAGACTGGCTGGTACCTACAAGTGCACAGTGAGGCTGATGACTATGATGTTACTATGATGTAACTGTTTCCCTTTCCACCTCTCAGCTGCTAAAATGATGGTGTACCTGGAGCCCTCCACAGATAAGATGGCCTGTGAGATAGCCACTGCCCTGGACGAGTCACTGACTGGAAGAAGCATTCAGGTGTGTCTGTGATGTGACCACATACGAAGACAGTTGGTTTGGAATGCCTTATTTTCCTTGTCCTTAAAATATCCAAATATATACCCTACAGATCTGTACTGAAGTTATGGAGGCTCTGCGAAATGGGCAGCTGGGAGAGAACCAGCAGAAAGCAGCTGAAGCTTACCGCGTTGCCTGCCATAAGATCTACCCATACTGCCTGGCCTTCATGCCTCCTGGTTACCAGGACAACACCACAAAGATCAGTGCCAATGGTGACCTGTCAGCAGGTGAGCATGAGGAGATGACCAACGAGATGTGAGCACTGAACAAGGGGTAATGGCCCCTGGGAAGAGCCCTGACAATGCACTGATCCAGATGGGACAATCGCCACCAGGAGAGGCACAGGAGCAGGCCTCTTTTACCTATTCAAACAACACACCCAACTGTCACTGCTGTTCTCGAAGTAATTTATATACAACAAACTGACAAGTGGGTCTCAAAACCAAACAGTACCCTGCAGATGCTGGTGGCAATGTATTGTTCAGAATGTGAGCTGCTGTTTGCCAAAAAACAAACCACTCAAAAGGCAAGATACATGATTTTATATAGAACTTATAGTACACCCCAATTATGCCACCAGAGGGCTCTGCTGCACCCCGAGTGAACTGTGAGAGGAGAAGTGAGAAGCACATGGGACAGGACTGAGCTCTTTGACTTTGGTGGGCTGAAGATGCAATAAGTTTTAACATATACACACACCAGTCTTTCTGCTGCTTGGGTTTTCTTTTAAAAGTTTATTAACCTGCGAGGAATTCTGAATAAAACTGGGTTGACAACATCCCTTTTGTAATATTTTCATTTTAGTATTTTACATTTAACATAGAAATTACCATAAGATTATTTGATACTTCACAGATTAGATTGCAGTGATCTCGTTTGTCTGGAGTTGTGTATATTTAAAAAGGTGTGATCTTCAGATAGATATGTGGTGATGAATGCTGGGAAATCTCTTTTTAAAACCACCTCTAAGAACATGTCGGCTGCGGTCTGAAGCTGCTGTTTAGCCCTGGAACATATTTTAGAAAAGTTTAACAATTGTCATGTATGCACAGGTATATTTGTCTTAGATTTAAATGCAGTGTTCCTTCGTACCCATTTGAACTGCAGTGAATACTAAGCTCAGTTGTGACCATGGTAACAAGGGCAACCACCATTTGCCTGTTCACCACCTGGCCGTCATCCTCTAGTCGAGTTTGATGGCGAATCCACTGCCACACCTGAGATCTTGATATCTCGGCTGTGGCAGAGTCTTCCACTTGGCCTCGGTAGAAGAAATGGCCTTTACCTGTGAAACAATTCAAGTTGGAATCAAAAGTGTATCAAATCTAAAAGAAATGTGCTATGCTAAGTATGCTAAGTATTCAGTACCAGAGAGCCAAGCATTTATGAACAGGACACCAACGGCAATATTGTATCTCAACCCATTTAAAGTGACTCCTCCCTGAATACAAATACATATCATTTATTTTAAATGCTGAAAGGTCTTGAATAGCAGACGTTGATGTGGTCATTGCTCACTGATGGCATGGACAGTAGGTCTGTTGGAGTCACCACAAAATCCTCTCGAAGCTGCTGAAGCTGGTTTTCACTGTCGGTATGTACTTCAAAGAGCTGCAATAATAATGGAAAAATAATGGGGTTCAAAACATTACCTTAATTTCATTCACATAATTCATATGTTAGTGAATTATATGGACCAATAATCCAGTGTGATAATAACACATACTGGGTCATTGATTATTTTATATATTTTTAATTTGAGCAACTGAGTACATACTTTCTGCATAGGTTTTATCAAGTTTAGGTCATACACCATAAAACCATCCACACCAGCTTTAATTTCCAGTAATTTAAGTCTGAAAAACCAGAACAAAGACGATGTTAATTCCATAGATAAATGTTAAAGCAATAATGTGGTTTGTACCTGGTGACAGTAGCCAACACTGTGTGGTGAGCCTGGCTGTTTGTGTTGTGGGGCAGCAGCAGGGCAGCCATCCCGCCTGTGGCTAGAGCTCCGCGCCTATGACACGTCTGAACCAGCAAGTCCATGTAGCTCCGCAGAAAACGCTTCTCCATATTCACATATTTACTGCGGTCAGGCAACAGGAATGCCCTGCGGTGACCTACAAAATAATAGGTAAAAGTTTCAAAATGTATTGGTATACTGTGTAATGAAAACACTTTTTGACTTTTTTTTATTAGTGAAATCTTAATATTTACTTCTCGATAAATACACTTCTGTTCTAGATTAAAAAAAAAAAAGCACTTATCCTGTATATGTGAATTGAATTTGTTGTATACTTCCTTTTAAATGTATTTTACATAACTTTTCTGTTTGAAAATTGGTCACCTGCTTATCTCCACAGGGTTGCTAATACTTTGCCTGGAATATTCTGCAGCATGGCATTACACTAATTTTTCTCTGTGAAGATAAACAAGTGACATCACCAGGCCAAGTTACAGGACAGATTAGTAGTGGGGCAAGCCTGCTCTTACTATGACCACCTTTCAAACATGATGTGGACAAAATTGTTGGTACCCCTCTGGTAATGAAAGAAAAATCAACAATGGTGACTGAAATTACTTGAAACTGAGAAAAGCAGTAATAAACAAACATTTCCAGAAAAATAACCAATAGAGATCAGACACTGTTTTTGAAATATTGTTCAATAGTTAATAATTATAAAAAACAAACTAATGAAACTGGCCTGGACAAAAATGATGGTACCCCTACAAGAGTGTAAATACTTGGACAATAGGGACATGTTAAACTTAGGTGTGTCCTCAAATTTGTATCACAGGTGTCTTCAAACTTGTTATCAGTCGGTCTGCCTGTTTACAGGGCGACATGTGTCACTGTGGTGTTTGGAGACATGACGGATACAGCACTGAACATGGACCAGAGAAAGAGAAGAAGAGAACTGTGTCAGGAGTCTAGGAAGAAAATGATAGCAGGTTCAAGAGGCCATAAGACCATCTCCAAGCAGTTTGATGTTCCTGTGATTACAGTTACACATATTATCCATACGTTTATGGTCCACAGGACTGTAGCCAACCTTCCTGGATGTGGCTGCAAGAAGAAAATTTATGACAAATCGAAGAGATGGATTACATGAATGGTAACCAAAGAGCCCAGAACAACCTCCAAACAAATTAAATGTGAACTTGAAGGGCAAGGTACATCAGTGTCAGACTGCACCATCTGTCACTGTTTGAGCCAAAGTGGACTTCATGTGAGGACACCACTGTTGAGAGCAAATCATAAAAAGTGAAACTGAAATGTGTCACGATGCATATTGACAAGCCACAAAGGTTCTGGGAGAATGTCCTTTGGACAGATGAGACAAAACTAGAGCTCTTTGGCAAGGCACATCAGCTCTTTGTTCACAGATGCAAAAATGAAGCACACCAATAAAAAACACTGTCCCTACTGTGAAGCATGGGAGAGGCTTGGTTATGTTCTGGGGCTGTTTTGCTACATCTGGCACAGGGTGTCTCTGCAAGGTACAATGAAATCTCAAAACTGTTAAGGTATTTTGGACCGAAATGTGTTGCCTAGTGTCAGAAAGCTTGGTCTCAGTCATAGGTCACGGGTCTTCCAACAGGACAATGACTCAAAACTAGAGCCCGACCGATATATCGGCTGGCCGATATTATCGGCCAATATGGGTACCTGGAGACATATCGGCTATCGGCCGATATGCTTGCTGATATTGGCCGATATTTCACGTGGGCATGTTATACCTCGTTATAAAGCTTAGACTCTCTACATTATGTTCATTTAATCCAATTTATAGACAGATAAATGTCCTAATATGTGGCTCCGCATCAGTATTTATTTGCGTAATGTAATGTAATTTGTGTCCGTACTGTCCCTGAACACACCACAGAGTCACGTCACTTCACTCACTTGTTCTTGTTTACACCCGCAGCTGTGCGCAACACTGAGATTATTTTCTTTTTACGCACAATCGGCTTGAGTCTGGATTAAAAGGACTTTTATTAGTGCAGACTTGTGATGTAAGGAGGAGCCTGTGTGAGCGGTGAGTGCTGGAAATACATCGACTTTGAAGCTAGTTTAGGTTATCTGTTAGCGATTAGCTGCTGTAGCTCCCGCACATAAACAGACTGTTTTCTATTGGTCTATTGTAAAGTGACTGTATTGGCCGTATATTTGTTACTGGACCAGCATTGATATGTAAATGAACTGTGAATAGACGTGTGAATGATCCACATTTATGCATATAATTAATTACCGCGGTGCGCACGTTTTTACGGCTAAAGGCTAATAGCGGTAGTTTATTTACTAGCAAGGAGTTATGGGTCGGTCACGATCGAAGCGGCTCTTAGAGCCGGCTCTTTGAAGTGAACGACGGGAGCCTGCTTCTTATTGGGAGTCGTGTTTTCTCTTTTTCTCACTTTTTCTCTTCAAGCCGCTTGTAGACCCGTAGTTTGACAGCAGCAGCGGCTGAAAACGAAACTTTCAGAAATATGCGTGTGCATAGGATAAAAAAAAAAAGGTGCATATTTGGCTGCAGTTCACCATAAAATGAATAAAGCAGGACTAATCTTGGGCTTGAGAGAGAGATAGAGACCGAGTCCCGACACTCAGTCCTGGTTCAGTTCTGGTTTAGTCCTGTTTTACGCATGGTTTAAATCTGTTTTAGTCCTGGTTTAGTCCTTTTTCAGTCCTGGTTCAGTTTTGGTTTAGTCCTGCTTGCAACAAAACAATCTCAAGAGTCGCTTGGGAGCCGAAAGAGCCAGCTGCTTTAGTGAGCCGAGCCAAAAGAGCCGGTTCTCCAAAAAAAAAAAAAAAAATGGAATACCCATCACTAGTAGCAAGAATGTGATGCAAAAATGCCATTAGGCCAATCTACTGTATGTAAATATGATGTAAAGAGTCAGAATAACAATAAATGTTGCCTAAATAAACCCAATTTAGAATCCATTAGAGCCAAACCTAAATTTTTTAAACAATTCAAGATTTACAGTGAATTTTTACATCACTAAATATATCGGCGATTATATCGGCTATCGGCAGCGCCAACTCCCATTATATCAGTTTCATATCGGCCACAACAAAATCCATATCGGCTCTACTCAAAACACACAGCTAAAAACACCCAAGAATGGTTAAGAACAAAACATTAGACTGTTCTGATGTGTTCTTCTGAGCCCAGATCTCAATTCTATTGAACATCTATGAAAGGAGCTGAAACATGTTGTCTGGAGAAGGCACCCTTCAACCCTGAGACAGTACAAAAGTCTCATTGACAGCTACAGAAATTTTTTGTTTGCATAGTTTGCCTCAAAAGGTTGCGTAACAAAATATTAAGTTAGGGTACCATCATTTTTGTCCAGGCTGGTTTCATTATTTAGTTTGATTTTTGTTGGACAATTTTCAGTAATATTTTATTATTTTATTTTATTATTGCTTTGATCAGTTTCAAGTTATTTCATTGATAATTGTTGATTTTTCTTTCATTGCCAGAGGGGTACCAACAATTTTGTCCACATCTGTATGTACGTAATTAAAACTGTAACTGAATGAATGCAGGATAAATAAATTTAATCCCATAGTGTGGGATAGTCTATTAAAAGCAATACAATCTTTCTCAGACCCTTCGCCAGGAAAGTTACAGTGCATCTTTAACATCCATATTATACATCTATGTGTATAATATATTGTGACACATTTGCCCTCTTACCAAACTTATTAACGAAAGAAGCAGAATAGTCCCAGATTCCACAGTTGAGGCCAGCTGAATGTTCTCTCAGCTCATACAGGATCTCCTCCATTTCAAAAGCAGCCAGTACATTTTCAATAAGCACTGTGGCTTTGATAGTGCCCACTGGAAGTCCTAACTGCACAGAAAACAACACAAGATTAAATTTCTCAATTTTAGAAACATATTTTTCTTATAATTTACAGACCATATGTTGAGTCCAAAGAAATATCTTATTCCATAGTCTGGCTTCCATGAAACTTTCTACCTATAAAAGACATTATAAATTAGTTAATTTACACCACACTGGTTGATTGTATGGGTTGGATTGTGATATTTGTGTACATATATTTTACTTTGGATAAATAGAAAAATGGACCACTTCTGTTTTCAAAAAGTGTCTTTCCACAGTGAAACATAAGCAGTCCAAAGTCAAAGAGAGCCCCTGGAACTTGCTTTCCCTCCACCTGAAAAAGTGAAAAAGGTGATGGAATACTTGTTTTTTCCAGGTGTATGGTTAAACATAAAAACACACATGGATTTAAATGCAAAATAAATTAAGTTAAATTTAATGCTATGATGTGGAACATTCAGGGCAAAACTATAACAGCTCCATGGAGATATCAGGTGGCTGATCTACCAGAACAATTAGACATTTAAAGTGTATTTTTCTTGATTAAAAAATAAACATTATACCATCATATTATGTTCCACCATGTTCCAGGCTCGTGGGCGAAGCATCAGGACTGGGGCCTTTGATATATGAGGAACACCTAAAAAAAATATCAGTTTATTCATACAATTTCTAGCATCACTGTGAATATGATGAAGGGAAAAACTTACTGGGGAACTGGTTGTGCACTGCTTTCCACACATTGTGAATACCCTTGATCTGGTTGTGGAAAGTTGGGCAGTTTCCATCGTCAAAATCAACCTGTAATAATAATAAAAAATAAAATTATTGTGTGAATCTGCCCTGTGGGTGCATACTAAATGCAAGAAAAATAATGCATTGCATCAAGGTTTGGGACTGCCACAATAATTTTGATTCTCTCTGGCTGGAACACCAAAAATACTGAAAAGTCATAACTTGTTCTTATTCTTCATATTATAGTCAAATATCATACCTGTATGCCTTGTGCTGGTGACTGCAGAGCCTGAATAAAGCGCTGGCTGTCACATGGGGCTAAATCTCCAATGTCCACGTGTCTTTTCTGGAGCCGCACAGGGACAGGGAGCACAGTCCAGTCCGGGTTACTCCTAATGTGGGCCGTGTCCTGTCTGAAACCTGGCAGTTCTCCTGTCTGGTCTAACCGGGCTTTTGTAGACATCCGTAAACAGAGGACCTGGCACAAATGGAGCAGTAAAAGAAGAGCAGTTTAAGTTATAATATTTTTTGTTTATCAAGTGTTGCATATAGTACCTCATCAACATCCTCCTCAAATGTGGAGATTAACTGATGAAGGAAATGTAGGCAGTCAGAGGTGAAAAGTGTCTCAAATTCTGTTTTCAAGTCTGAGGGAGAGAGGCTCAGCTCCAAGACAAAATTACTCTGCAAAAGAAAATTTCACCAGTAATAATAATTTGGAGGAATACATGTTATTTAATTAGGGTATCTGATAATAATAAAACTCAAGTAGCGTGTACATCTGTACTTACACATCTACTCACCTTCACCTCAGCCTTCACCTTTCTGGTATAAAGAAATTATTTTCTTTCTCAGGTCTTGTGTCATTTCTTTTCAATGTGGTGCTATTACTGACAGCAGGAAATGGGAAGGGGTTTGCTTTAAGTAACACAATTTTATAGCCAACTGTCTGATGGACACCTATGGAATGAGTCATTAGACTCTCCTGTGGTTGAATGTTTGTTCAATTACACATTTGGAGTCTATAATGTAGCTTTGCTCTGAGACTTTCAGTGGGGTGTACTCATTTTTGCGCCACCCTAATTTGACTAAAACTGAAAATTATGTAATTATGTAAAAGGTATATTATTAACCTTAGTCTTTTGTCCTAAATTCAACAGATGCTGTATTAAACTTAGTCTGTACACATTTTGCTTTTTTTTGTCATTGACATATTGTATAAAATGTTACTTTTTAAAGGGGGTGTACTCATTTATGCAGGGCACTGTTTATGTAGGCTACTCAGTGCAAACAAGGTCAAGTCCAGAACAGTTTTGGTACAAGTCACATAAATCTATTAAATTTTTTAACAACATAAAGTAACTTCAAGCACTAAACCTACAGTGATTAAAAATAGACCACTACATCCTTTGCAAAAAACGAAACAAAAAACAAAACAGCAACTAGATCATATTTGCTGGAGCTTTTCCATTTTGTCTACTGATTACATGATACAATAAATGATTATAGTCACAAAAACTCTTACCATTATCATTATTATTATTGTTTTTAATTCAGCGTCATTAATGTCCAACATTTAACACATTAGGGATTAAAAATCTAATTTGGGCTCCAATACTCACAGACATGGTGTTTTCAGCCTCACAGCACTGTTGGACTTTGGCAATGGACAAACCGTCTGGAAACAATATTTTAAAAAGTGTTTGCACATAGAGCAGAAAGATATAATGTCATCTAATAATGATTTAATATATAATAGATCATTGCAATACAATAGTTAAATATTTAACAGTACTGATTAAATTGTATGAAATGAGGTAGCTAAATGTTGATTTATTACAAAAGAACATTTTGAGGCTTTTACTGTGAAAGGACTGAGAAGCTTTCTGATTTCACTTCCTCTTCTGCCCTCTCTGTCTGACAGTGGTAATGCAGGGTGTTTAACTAGTGGATTTTTATTCAATAAAAAGACATGGACGCTAAAACACAGATACAAGAAGCAATCAAAAGCCAAGGTGAAGTAGTGCGGAAGCTGAAGGCGGAGAAGGCAAGCAAAGATCAGGTCAGTGACTCTAAAAATCCGTGGGTTCCTTTAAACATGTGCTACGCCAAATACAAGTAGCAAGCTAGCACTGCGCCATTCATTCACTGATTAGAATAAGACGGTACATTTATGAAACATCTAGGCTCTTGTTATAAATACTTCGTGGTAAAAAGGATCATTAACATGCTGACTAGTAGAGACTGATGCAACGCCACCACCTGACGGTCACTTGTACATCCACTGGTTAGAATAACGCTAGCTCACAACACTTCAAGATTTTTCAACTCTTAATAAACGAAAGGGAAGTTGTGTATTTTGGAAAAGATACAGCGAAGTTACAACTTTACCTACAAATAATGGGACTGTACACGTGATTAGGAGTAGCCTAATAGAACTGTTAGTATTGACCTACTGTCTGAAATTCATAATGTGAAGTTATTGGCCGATTAGAATTGACTGGAATGAATGTAGTTGCCCACCAGAGCTGCCATGCTGTATATACCTATACCTAATATGTCTGAATACCCAAGTATATTTTCTATGTAGCCAATATAATGATTGAGGATCAGTGTTTTGTTTTCTTCTGGGCGGCCTGCTCTGATTGACTTGGTACATTTCATGTTCTATCCTCCATGCTGTGCTGATGGCGCATCATGTCTCGACCTTCCCTAGTGCTAGGGTTGCTTACCACTTTTCTCCTGTTCTTCCTGCCTGACTCGGATGACCTATGGCTGCTGAACCTCCACCGTCCTTTTTGCTTGTGTGGAATCTGAACTGACCTGGAAAACTGCTGTATACTCCCACTTCCTAATTCAATACCTGTGGTCCTCGGATGACTTTGATCCAAATGGATGCTAAATATCGACTTGAATGACTTTTTGAAACCAACTCTACTTGTGCTGTCGACAACATGCTGGCCATGTTTGGTGTCCGTGCATGCTCTGCATTATTGGGTTCATGGACTGTGTCACGGGTTCGACTCCTGCATTCTCTCTCTGGGATGACTGCTGCTCAGGTTTGTTCACATAGACCCATGTTATTGCATGTGTTGGAGCAGAACAGACTTATTTACACATATACTTTTCCTCTGTTGCAGATTGATGAAGAAGTAGCAAAACTCTTGGAGCTGAAAGCCAAGTTAGGAGATGATGGCAAACATCAGTTTGTACTCAAGACACCAAAGGTAAATAACTTCAACCAGACAGTGCATTTAAATCTTCTCATGGGTCTTTTGTTTCGACATGGTTGTGGAGTTCACATTATGCATTCATTACTTTTAACTATGAATAATTTACTGTAATTATTAAGTTCTTATTATCCAAAGGTAACATTCCATGTGGACAACAAGAGATGTTGATATATTGTACAAACTGTGCAATTACCAGCAATTTTCCTCTTCCAGGGAACACGGGATTACAATCCCAAACAGATGGCCATCAGAGAGAAGGTCTTTAATACCATCATCCACTGCTTCAAGCGTCACGGAGCTGAAACCATTGATACTCCTGTATTTGAACTGAAGGTAATTTATTTAGTAATGTAGTGGTTTTATGTACAAGAAATTTAGTGGAAATTTAATTTATCTTTATGCACAGGAAACATTGACAGGGAAATATGGAGAAGACTCAAAACTAATCTATGACCTGAAAGACCAAGGAGGAGAGCTGCTGTCCCTCAGATATGACCTTACTGTATCCTTCTTATCAGTACTTCTTGGAAACATGTACTGTATGTGTCACTATTGCTAAAATTAATGTTTCTGATTTGTAGTAATATTAAATTCTCTTTCATTAGTCACATATTGGGACCAAGCAGGCAAAATAGTTTCCTTAACCTTTATTTTCTCAGGTTCCCTTTGCTCGTTATCTGGCCATGAATAAAATAACTAATATTAAGCGTTATCACATTGCAAAAGTCTATCGTCGGGACAACCCAGCCATGACTCGTGGGCGCTATAGAGAGTTTTACCAGTGTGTAAGTGTCACTTTAAAATCCTTCTCACCTGCAAACTGGGATTTATTTGTGATGACTAATCACTTTATGAACTCACAGGATTTTGACATAGCAGGGCAGTATGATGCTATGATCCCAGATGCTGAATGCCTGAAAATTGTCTATGAAATCCTTGGAGAACTGGACCTTGGAGACTTTCTCATTAAGGTAATGTATGCTAATTTGTCTTTAACTTATAGTTCTGTTTGCTTTAACTTAATGTTACATTTTATTATTTGTATTTTAGGTGAATGACAGACGAATCCTCGATGGAATGTTTGCCGTCTGTGGTGTTCCAGATGATAAATTCCGCACCATCTGTTCCACTGTGGACAAACTGGATAAGGTGTGTTGCAGTACTGTAGTGAACCAAGGAGAGATATTTTAGTCAATCTCAGGCCTAGCATGGGCAATATACCCATTTTCATTCAGGACAAACTTTATAACTTGCTCTCCTCTAAGTAAGAGAGTTTAGTGAGGCTATTAAATATTTGTGCTTTCTAATATGTTTTTGATACATGTCCTGTAAGGCACCATGTTACGGGAGATTGATTGGTATAGTAATACCACAACTGTGTCCTTGTGCCAGATGCCTTGGGAGGATGTGAAGAAGGAAATGGTGAATGAAAAGGGCTTGTCAGAGGAGGCAGCTGACCAGATTGGAACCTATGTCAGTATGCATGGTAAGGCATGCTAGCTAATTTTTCTTTTATGTACTGTCATGAGATTTCTCTGTGGTTAGTCTGCAAAGATATTTGCCTTGTAGGAGGGATGGACCTTGCTGAGCGGCTTCTCCAAGATCCCAAAATATCCCAGAGTAAGCAGGCCTGTGCTGGTCTGACCGACATAAAGCTGCTCTTCAGTTACCTGCAGCTGTTCCAGATAACAGACAAGGTGAGACACTCAGATGTTCAGTTTTATAATACATGCATATCTTTGATTTATTTTGTCTGATGAGACCCATGTGCTGATATTTTTCATGAGATCTCCAATTGCCTGCATTAATAATGCTTTTGTGTTTTAAAACCTCTCATATATAAACTTTGACATGTATTGCAACCTAGTTTTTGGTCTTAAACCATAAGACTCACTGTCTTGGTTCTGGTTTTATAGATATTTACTTTTTTCTACAATACTTTTCCATTGTTTCAAGTACAAGTCAAAATATGATCCTCTGTTGCAGGTGGTATTTGACCTGAGTTTAGCTCGTGGCTTGGACTACTACACAGGTGTTATCTATGAGGCCGTGCTGACACAGGCAGGAGTAGCCCCAGTAGTTGTTGAAACTCAGAACGGGCCTCCAGGCTCTACAGAGGAGAGTGTGAGTGTGGGCAGTGTGGCAGGAGGGGGACGATACGATGGACTGGTAGGCATGTTCGACCCCAAGGGAAGGAAAGTGCCTTGTGTGGGCGTCAGCATTGGCATAGAGAGGATCTTCTCCATCATGGAGCAGAAAGCTGAGGTGAGGCTGAAGGAGTGTGCTCTGAATATTTGCTTTGGTATACCATAACTAATAGTGAGATACTATTATAATATTTTAGGCCTGCACAGAGAAGGTTCGTACCACAGAGGTGCAGGTCATGGTGGCTTCTGCACAGAAGAACCTGCTGGAGGAAAGACTCAAACTTGTCACTGAGCTCTGGAATGCTGGCATTAAGGTACTCTATATCTCTGTATCTCTGTATCTCTGGGATGACAGTAGCTCAGATATACATAGACTATACATAACATAAATGTCAGTTTGTTAAAATAGGAAACTGGAATCTGTTGTAGCAAACTAGTTATTGCTTTTTTTTATAGGCAGAGGTAATGTACAAGAAGAACCCCAAGTTGCTGAGTCAGTTACAACACTGTGAGGAGTCTGGGATCCCCCTAGTGGCCATACTGGGAGAACAAGAGCTAAAGGATGGAGTGGTCAAACTCCGAGTTGTTGCCAATAGAGAAGAGGTACATTTACTACTAGTACTCTTCTGACCTCTTATTTGTAAACCTTTATCTTAAATCTATTAATTGATTTGTCTGTAGGTTGACATCTCTAGAGGAGACCTAGTGGAAGAAATCAAAAGAAGGACCTCATAAGACTATCTGCACCAGCTATGAGCTGAATTTCAGAGACAGTCTGCTAATAACTGTTATTACTCTAAACGGCATGTCTGATACACACAACATTTAAAATACCAGTGTCATTTGAATTTAGGGAGATGCACTAAACAAAGCTAGCCAAATACCCAATATGAACAATATAAATATAAACAACTTTTTTTCATATTTCCTTAATTCCTGAGGACAAACAAGTCAAGCTCATGAAAGGCAAGTTTAAGTAACTTCTGCTTGTACCATATGTTTTTGTCCATGTGTCCAAATAAAATTTTGTGGGATACAGTGTGGAATATAATCAGTGTTTGACAAAACTCCTTAAAGGTATATTTAGTTACGTTATGTATGTCTACATAGAATAATTGGGAAGAGACATAGATACGGCATTTTATTCACATGCTTTCCAATACCTTGAAACCAAATAAACAAGGTGCCTAACTCAACTCCCCATGTCAGATTTTTCAGAGGCACTGTTTGAGTGATGGGTCAAAAGTGGAAGACCTTTATGAAAAATAAGGTCTATAAATTACAGGAATAACAGCTACCAGGGATGAGGTTATTTAGTTATGATTAGTTATATGATAAGTAAATTAATGTGGGAATGTATACGTGAATTAATAATCACTAAACCCGTTCAATTCAAAATATAATCATTCAATTAAATTTGAAACTGATACCTACATGTTAACTGTACATTTTCTGTAAGTAAACTCAGTTTCCCTGAAAAAAGACTAATACTTAAAACGGCAAATAGACATGAAATGTGTTATTCTTTATTTTTATATTATTTCTTGAACTAGTTTATAGTTCAACTAGAAACAATCTTTTTAATATTCAGCTTATGTTTATTAACAAATTATGCCATTTAACACAACTGGCATGAACTTTCTTATACAGTTAAAATGGAGTGAGCCTACTTCTTTCCTGAAAAGAAATACACAAAACATACTAAGCCAACAATAATTCTGTTGATATTTAAATAAGTAAAACAATGCATCATTAATTAAACATTTAATTAAAAGGAACACACCCAAGAACACACAATGAAAATCATGCAAAGGACAAGTATATAAATCCAACCAACAATTACAGTAAAAGCATGCATAAGATAAACCAGACAAATTACAAACTTTTAAGTACTTATAAAAACATGCAAACAACTTAAGAACATTTTTTTTAAACAATGATAAATGTAAATCCTTGATATGATGCTGTGTTGTCAGCTCATGAGTGAGTCGTTCTCTAAGGGTATTGAGGCAGATGGTCTAACAGAGGAGGGGGCAGAGAGAAGAAACGGCGGGGCATTGGGATCTGGAGCTGGGCAGCAGGACCTCCTACTGTCCGGCAGAACCCAGGAGGGATGGACGGAGTGTGGAGAAACGGAGAGGGCAGAGAGGGGGGCTGAGGCCGTGGCAGCAGACGAGGGGGCTTAGTGGGAGAGGTAAAGAAGGCCTTCTGAGAATGCATGGGTTCTTCTGGGCTCGGCTTTCCTGACGATTGCCATTTGATTGAAACCGACAAGGAAAAATGCTTCTTGAAGGCTGGAAAAAGAAAAAAGGAGATAATTCATGACGTGCTAGGATGACCCTGTATCTGCGTGAATGATAAACACTACAGTATTTTTGCAACATTAACTGCATGCAGTCTTGATTACTAGAGTAACTTGCTAATACTTGAATAATCTCTTCTCAAAGTGAATCATCTTGCCATGGCTCCATAATGTTTAGCTGGATTTTATTGCAATTTGTACATTTGGCGTAGAGAGTACCTCGGTTATATTGAGAAATTGACAAAGGAATGTTTTTCGTGAAACTATGCTATCTTAAAATGTCATGCATTGGTCAAGTACTAATTAGATTTGTGGCCAATTTTTCAGCTGTTTTAACAATGTTCAAGGCTTTGACAATTTGTGAGAAAATCCTTGTGAGAAAAGACTGGGCATCCACTTAAAGTGGACAGAACTCACCTTCAACCAGCACTTTCTTGGCCATCGAGGCAGCATGATGCGATGTGAAGACCACAATGGCAGACACACCTTCTATACCAGGTCCAGCTTTCAGAGAGACCCTCTCCACACCCTCTATCAGTCCCTGGAGCACCTTACATGACACATCAAGCAGAGAGTATCAGCGGTCAAGATATCTGTGTAAAACACCTCTAAAATGTGAACAGCAATACCTGCAGAAGTTGCTCTTGCTGGGTAACCCGGGGCAGACCTCCCATGCATAGTTGCCTCTTCTCTGTGCTGCGTCTGACAGACAGGTAGCAGCCTGACTCTATCATGTAACCGTTGAGAGTACGGATGGCCTCAGTAGCTATAGCTGCAGACCCATACTTGGCATAGGCAAAGCCACGGTTCTGTCCACTGAAGTTCATCATGAGGCGGAACTCCCACAGTGGGCCCACTGAGCTGAACAGGGGAATAAGCAGGTCCTCGTACACATCCCGTGGAATCTGACTGATAAACACTTCACAGCGAGCTCCAGGCATGGGGCCATCCCAGCCTGAAAGAACAAGAGAAAGAGAAGGCACAAAGTTTATTATTTTGTCAGTGAATATCTGACAAATTTATTAAAATAGTTTCAGAAAACTATTCATTTTCTGTGACTGCAATCTTCAAATGTAAACACAAAATCAAATTACATAAACAGAATGTTACTCACCTTCAGGAGGCCCTCCGTACCTCCTCTGGCCATTCACTTGTGTCAGTCTAATTTTGGTGTTCTTCACCCAGGTCTCCAGGGCCTGGACTCGCACAGGGTTCAGCACCTACAAAGATCAACCAATAAGACACTACACAAAAAACTCAGTTATAAAAATCACCATTTTCACCTTCAGACGATCATCAGTAAAATGATGGGTCCTTATCCATCAAAGAAAGTTATGTCTTAAATATGTAACATACATTTACAGATTTAAAGCAACACCACTTTCTGGAGGTGGCACATCACCTGCATGATTCTGGAGTATGTTAGACATTGCCATGGAAACAACTATGGAGACAACTTTTACTTGGCCTCCAGGCCAAGCAAGGTTTGTGGAGATGCAAACCACTCAGTGCAATAAAAACACTGAAAAACAAAAACATGTTTTTATTTTAGTTTATTATTATTTTTTATGTTAAAAATCGTGCTGTCTTTAAGGTGAGAGTCAATGCCCAGTGCCTATAGGCAAATAGGAGGACATGGATAAATTATTATCTAACCTTGCCCTCCCCCACACAGGGGGCTACTTATGAATCCAGTGAGTTATCCAAGAAGTTATGCATTCAAACTTTATTGGACTATTGAGTTAGGCTTCAGGTCAGCAATTATGAAATAATAAGAAAAACGAACACTAATATACATCTCATATTATTATTATCTCATATTATAATTACCATATGATTCACCCAATAAATGTGACACAGTCTGCTATTCCACAAATGCACGCCGTGTAAGCTAGGGTGACCATATTTCCATTTGTGAAAACCCGGACACCTTACCAGGGGTGGGAGGTGGGGCCTCTACACTGAGCTACAGTTGTCCCTCGCTATATCACTGTTCACCTTTCGCGGTCTCGCTGATTTATTTATTTTTTTTAACCCTTGGGTGGGTCAGGACTAAACCAGGTCTAAACCAGGACTGATCTTGGACTTAAGAGAGAGAACGCCGAGCAGTTTGTCTGCAAAGCGCGATCAGGCAATTGCCGCGTTTACCTCCGTGAAGTGTGGAGCTCTCCATCGGTCCCTTCTCCTGCGTCACCTCTGAGCCCACCCCGACACTGACTCCATCAGTCCATGGTTCAGTCCATGGTTCAGTCCATGGTTCAGTCCATGGTTCAGTCCATGGTTCAGTCCATGGTTCAGTCCATGGTTCAGTCCATGGTTCAGTCCATGGTTCAGTCCATGGTTCAGTCCATGGTTCAGTCCATGGTTCAGTCCATGGTTCAGTCCATGGTTCAGTCCATGGTTCAGTCCATGGTGTAGGCAACGCAAAAGCTTGATATAATCACGGGTTAACGGGTGGGTGCGGTGTTGTACTGCAGGTCTCCAAAAATGGACCTGTGCAAGACACTGTTACGAAATAAATGAGTCTTGGGTTCGTTACATAAAGAACGAGGAAAATAACAAAAGGAAGACAGCAGCAATAAGTTTTAAGAAGGATGCAAAAAGGGTTGTAACTGTCCTGTGTGAGAAAAGTGTATAAAGTGTGTGGTGAGGGGTTTTACAGCTTTAAAACAGATAGAATAATTGTAAAATATAAAGTTGACTACTTCGTGGATTTCACCTATCGCGGGTAATTTTTAGAACCCCCGCGATAAACGAGGGACCACTGTACTCTCATCTGTGCACATGGCCATCCCGGATGGAAAACTGACAATTTCTTGTACAAGTCATTGTTAAATGCGCATTTACGCTTCGGTATGTTGCAGACTGACCGACTGTTTGTGTTTGCTCGCTCCTTTTAAGTCACAGAGAACTACGAAAGCCGATCAATTTAATGCCCCCAATGAACGGACATTTCCATCACTTAAAAAACAAAACAAAAACCGGACGCCCAGGACAAGACGCAAAATACGGATATTTCCGGGGAAAAACGGACGTTTGGTCACCCTAGTGTAAGCGTGGTTTAGATGCAACAAAATAAGTCTGCAGCCTATTGGGCGCCATCACTGCTGCCCGGCGGATCGGCTCCAACTCTGTATTTTGATCACCAGAGTCTCTCACGACGCTTCTCGGGTAAAACACGTGCACTCACAAACACAGATGCTTGTGAAAAGTAATCTTACCTGACTCCGTTTACAATCCATGTTGTCCACTGTTGGTTTGTGTTCGCGGACAGTGACGCCACAACGAGCTCGGGCTTGCACCTGAGTCTGCTGCACCCGCCACAGCCGCAGGTAGGCGCCTTGTGGGCCAAGCAAGTTCGAATATGGATGTGAACAATCGAACCACTGATATTTTATATTATCTTTGTAACAATAATAACAATGCATCGAACTTATTTTGGGCTTTTTGGACACTCAAAGATGCTTTACAAACAAATAAGAAGTGACACTATAGAAAACAGGAGAATCATGGGGAGAATTCCAGATTGAGGTGAGTTTTTAGTAGTGATTTTAACACGCTCTCCTCGGGGTCATATTGACCCGAATATTTTTTTTTCCTTCCCACTCTCTTGGGGCGGGTCAATCAGACCCAAACATTTATTTTCAAATAAATTCTCGACCGCCAGGCGAGAAAATAAATGTTTGGGTCTGATTGACGCGCCCCAAGAGAGCGGGAAGGAAAAAAATATTCGGGTCAATATGACCCCGAGGAGAACGTGAGGGTTAAGTACTGCTGTGAGTTCAAATTCCTGGATTGCGGGAGTGAGTTCCAGAGGGAGGGTGCAGCGGCGGCGAAGGCTCGGTCCCCGCTATGGATCTGTGGGTCCCCCAAGGTCCGGTTCTTTGTCCTGATGAGGGGAGGAGTGAGGTTGGTGTCTGCTGATCTGAGGCGGTGGGTAGGCTTTGTAGGTCTACTTGTAAGCTAATATGCTGCAGAGATGAACGACTGGCTCAAGACAAATTCAATAGACTATTTAAGGCATAAGGCCTAAAGAAGGCCTACTCTTCTGGCCAGAGATAGTTTTATTTTATTTTTTTCGCTATTGGCTAGCCTGTTGAAATGAAGCATGTTTTCACACTAGATACTATTTAAATTAACTTTTAAAACAACTTTAAAAACAAGGCCGCTTGATCCAGGCCAATCAGCCCTTGTCTGTTAAATCCAGACTTTAGTGCAGTGGCGTTTGACCATAGGAGCAAAGGGGCGCAAATTTGTAAAACAATTTAACATTAAAATTTAAGATAGTTCAGTAATATCAGACTTTAGATATTACATAAATGTAACCTATGAGCTCCATCCAAAGTCTATAAGAGAAATCTGACCAATCAGATCCGCGCATTTATGCGCCTAAAGCATAAACCGTATGTCCAATATATTTGAGCGGTGTATGTGAGGACGACCGGTGACAGTGACCGAGTTATTGCGGCGCAGCAGCTCGCCCTGTAAACACCTGCAAAGCGTCCCTCAAACCCCCGCGCTCACCTCCACGGTCACAGCACAAAGACGAACTCCACTGAACACAGGGACAGCCTCACATTACACCTGACACCAGGTGAAAGGAATATGAACACAAGAAGAGGTTTGGTTGAGAACAAGAAGAGTTTATGAACCTTTACTGTAAGAGGCAGAAGCAAGTGGAGTTTTACATTGCTGTACAAGTCCCGTACAAATGTCTGATTCCTGCTTATTTCAAACGCATGTGTGTTTTTTTTAACCTGTTTCGATCTGGAAAGCCTAGCCAGAAAAAATAAAATAAATAAATAAAATAAAATTATAATAAGCTCTGCGTCTGCGTCATATCACACATAAATACAATAATTAAAAATTTAATGGCGCCTTTGAAGGAAAGTTTTGTGTCAATTTTACTTAGACACCACCTGCACACAAAGCCACATTTAGCCAAGACTGTGCCCTGTGTCTGGTGACAAATTGAAAAAAACAAAACAAAAAAACCTCAATTTTAAATTAAATAATGTATTTACGTGACAACAATTTACACCGCACAACTGAAGTGTGCAGGTCAATCGTTTGTGATTCACTGTCAAATCCACAAGGTGTCACCATTGTATTGTATGTGTTTTATTCACGTAGACTTTACCATCATTTTAAGACTTGTCCATGTCCCTGTTTTTATTTTATTTTATGTTTCTGGCAGCCTTGGTAATGTAATTTAAATATCAGTTTGTTTAATTGTTTAGTTTCTAGAAAACCCAAAAGAAAAAACTTAAACTTAACTTAAACTTAAAAAAATATAGTAAAGTTGAGGATTAATTTCCTAAGACAACCCTATAAGTGTTGTGGTGCCTGTCGCTTGATACAGTGAAGTGCACTGATGGGCTGCCTTGTCAGCATGGCTAACATTATTTTCCCAAAGCAAAATGCTGCATTACACAGTGGCTTATGGGAAAGTGAAATGCATTTAGATAATGCTGACTTAGATTTTTATTGAAGCTATTTGTTTTGGTTACAGGCTGGAACCCCACATGTGTCTCCCTGCTCGCTAATGCAGTGCACATATCTGATACAAGAGCCAGAACACTGGGAAGAGGAGCTATCTGTGGGTATGGCTAATCTTATGTTTAATGTGACTGTCTGCAAAGTTAGGATTTATGAGTGCTCTTTGTGCATGAACTGAACACGTATCATTCTGAAACTTCTCACACAGCAGGTCTCCATCACCACATGACAAAATCTGTTTTAAACCTTGTAAGTCAAAACTAAACCAAGTCCTAACCCAGGACTAAATGACAACCCTTGAATGCAATTAATAGAATGAGCAAGTTGTTTTCGAAACTTCTTGTAACGTTTATGTCACCACAGAGATGTTACTGCTTTGCTTGCAAACTACGTCTTCTATGGAACAACTCACAAAGCAATATCAGCTCATTGATGACAAGCAGGTGGTGAACCTTGTACCAGACAACTTACAATACACATGATGTAGATATTAAATGTGTACAATCCCCTAGTTGTAAGTTCATTGAAAAAGAAGTTTGAATTCTATAACTGGATAAAAAAATTAAATTCTGTCAACCGTCAGAATTCAGTTCAGTGGTTTATGCTAGTTGTATGTGTTTTTGAGTGTTTTGTGACTTTCTTCACATTTTAGAGTGCTGTGTACATTTGCTTTAGTGGTACATTGTCAGCGTGATACATTTCTATTGACCCAAGTGTCATGCACCAGCTGTGCACTATTTTTTCAGTCCTCAGTGAAATGTGATAATGAATGTTAGTGATGCCATGCCATTTCATCTTAGGTCTGGCCAAGTGACTTGACATTTTTTTCACCTTTTAAATTTACAGGCACTCTGTTTCTCTGTGATGTAAGGACAGAACTCTCTCACATAAAGGAGAGAGGGAACCAATCTGCTTTGAATGCTCCTGAAAGGATGGTGCATGCCAACGTGGCTGGCAGGAGGATGTCTTTCATTTGGCTTCAGCACTCTGGGAGATGACTGTGTCTGTCGTCAGCTCACAGGGCCTTGTCTGTGGGCACGGGTACCATCAGCTGCACCAGGTGAACTTTAAATGTGAACTTCTACATTTATTGTCAGTCATTGTGAGTTCTGTTGAAGTTACCAGACACTGACCATAGATTCACCACATCATAGATCCATCAGGCCACCAAATTAATTTGAATATAGCTATCAGGTAAGAGGCCTAAAGGAAGACCAAATTGTAGTCCAAGTCCAGCGTTCAAGTTCTTGTGCAAATGATTGCACTGAGTAGCACCCATTGCTGTTAAATGAGCCATGTGGTCAGTATCCATGCAAAGAGACAGTATCTGTGTGAGTGGACAGTCCCCTGCTCCTCATTCAACTGTGCACTTCAAGACCCTCTGCACTCACACTCCAACTGCTGCTGCTAAACTCTCACTGTAGTCTTGTGTCCAATGTTTTATTTGGTATCCCTGGTCTGTAGGCAGGAGAGGATGTGTGCCCACTATGTCATTTTTTATTTTTACAAGCTGTCTGGAAATATTTGGGGCTTAATTTAACTGCTTATTGTCCAACTAGTTGGACAATAAGCAAAAGTTTACATACAAAAAACATACAGTTAATATACATATTTTCCCTTTTGGTTTTCTTTTGGTAACAGTGAATGACCTGCTTCAGTCTGAATCTGTTCTCCTCTACTCAGGACTCACACCACCACCATCTTCTTGTCTTCTTTCCCTCTCTATCACTTGTGTAAATTCTGAATTCAATGTCTTGTGGCCTCTAATATAAGTGCTTTTTGTGTGTCTAACCACTAAATGTGGATAGTGCACATCAATCTTAGTTGGTTGTTTGCCACTTGCAAAACTTTGTATTCTGGATTTATTTTGCTTTATAACATAAGATGAATTAGAAAGACTGAATGCTGGCCTACCTAAGCTTTTACAAAGGTTGTGATGTTTATTCTAGGCATTATTTTATGATAATCTCAGGGCCAAAGATGTGGCTTTTGATAAAATAACAAATAAATTATCAGTATTGTGATGGTTTGGAGATAGTTAAAATTCTGCTTTAGTTGAGACAAAAGGGCTAGAAGATCTAAAAAGAGATTTATGGATAATAATGGATAGTTTAGTATTGGTTTTATTTTTGTAATGTGTTAATAAGGTCATCTATGAAAGAATATGCTTCCTGACAAGAAAATATGATGTCTGTACTTTGACACAACAGAACAAAAGTCACCAAACAAGTTTACAAATTAACACAAAGTTTGCCAAGTAGAATGTTTAAAGGAGTTGCCAAACACTTGCATGAGCTGAAGAGGCTGAAGATGCAGGATTAAAATAGGGCCTTCACACCCAGATAATTGCCCCTCTGTGCATTTTGACATTTTACACAGCCCCTTTTCATCGGCAGATGATTTTGCATCCTTGTAGCCTTGAACAAGCTCCAGAGTAGGGAGAGTGGACACCCAGAGGACCCATCAGAGAGAGATGTATAGATGCTGTTTACATAAACTAACATATTTATTTAAAGACTTATGGTTTGACTTGTGAGTGTATGAAGCTAAATGCATGAGAATATGATACTTATTCAAATTGATATTTTTGTTAAAATCTTTCATTTTCCATATTCACATATCATGTTGTTTATTTAATGCATTATTATAAAAAGGTAATGCAATCCTTTCTTTTTGGTAGTTCTTATTTACTACTTATTTACTTATTACTTCATTTGTAAGCCTGACACTTAACAATAACTGAAATGAATGTATGCCACTGACACTTTAACCCAAAAGAAGAATTATCCGATTAAACCTTTTTCCAAATGTATAATGTAGGTAAAAAGATGAGCTGTGAGTACTACATAGGAGAATGAACACTTTAATAGTTAGTTTGTATCTATAATTAGTCATAGAAGCTATTTATTCAAACCCCCACAGCTAAAATCTTATTCTAGTATAGAATAATAACAAAAAGTTCTCCACTATGATTGTTCCATTTGTCATTTATTAAATGGGAAGGTAATATAGTAATTCTAGTGACAGGTCTACTCCCTTGAAAATTTGATGTATTTCTTACTTTTAATTTATTTTTAACTTTACAACTTGAACAGTTCAACAGATGTTAGCACTAACTTTGTCACTTCTGCTCCACGGTTAGGAATGTGAAATGTGCATGTGCTGTAACTTTAGAGCTTGTTAAAATGTGATGCATCACAGAGAATTTAGAATAGCAATGACCATTTAAATTGCAGACAACTGACTGCTGTCTGTCAGCATCTGTGCGTGCGGTCTGATCTAATGGTCTGTTTTCTATGAACTTCAGTGGGTACAGCTCACTAAGGCACTGGCTACATAGATGAAATAAAAACTGATGGCTTTGTAGATTTTTGGGGGGATAATGCTCCACCTGCAGAATGTGTTCCCAGAGTTCAGTGGGACATAAAGGGCAGGCACAAAGACAGAAAAATCACAATTGAGAGAAAAAACATTTTCCTGTGCACTAAAATGATTTTGAAATAGTGACTGAAAGGATGGAAAAGAGCAAATGTTTTTGAAATATTGTGCTATGTTACTTTTATCTTGGTTTCAAAGTTTTAATGCATTACCCAATTTCATTTGTATTCAAATGCATTCATTTGAACAAAAATACAAGCACAGACACCACACAGACTCACGACTTTAATCTGTGGCACTAATTACTAATTCAATCACTGAAAGAGTGACAGTGGCCTTACTGCCTTATTAAATGATTTGTGATGGTTATGAAATTATAAATGGACAAATATGTAAATTCAATTAAATTCTATCTGACATAAAAACTTGTGCAGTGGCATATAAACCACATGACTATTTCGGTCCATATCACCTCTCTCCTCCAATGTGGCTCTTCTTTTTTTTACAGGTGTTCATACTTCAAGAACAATTTCAATATTGTGAATAAGCATCATTTAGTTTAGACAATTTAGTCCACATCTTCAAAGACTTCAAGGGATGTTTATGGTCGATATGTCTCTGTCTAAAGTGTTCAAACAAAGGTTAAAAGTCAAACAGTGTGGGTAGTTCAGTGTCTGGAGGTGAGGGGGTCTTTTAACCTGACCATATTGAGATGGGAATCCTGTGCCCCTCTTGCCAGGCTTGTCTTGTTGTTTTGTTCCCAGCAGAGGACTTTATCTCAAGTATCCGGGATCTAAGTGAATTACTGTTGGCCATCTCCAGCACACAGATAAGCTAGTCCGGGGGCCACTCTCGGGACAATCTGATCGGCATCAAGGTCCCGGGGCCTTTTTATTGAGCAGCGGGTCAATGGAGGGTCCCCAGTGGAGTTAATATAGAGCTAGACTTACCTATATGGCTGCGTGTATGTGCAGTTTCATTCTGCCTCTTTTCAGATTGTTGCTAAGTTACTCCTGGCGCAACCTCGCATCATCACCTCTTTATTGCAGTTTGTGTGTGCACGGCCAGACAAACATGAGTGCTCTGTGTCCAATGGCCCTGTAATTCACCATAAGAGGGGCCCGTCAGCGGGTGAAGGGTTTGTGCTGGTCGAGTGTGTGTCTGGCCTATTGAATGTCTGTTTAACTGGCCTTGGTGATGGAGAGGTACAAGAAGAGCATGGCCTGAGTGAAGTGGTATTTTAAAAACCTTGTGCAGTTATTCACAGGGGTGTTTATTGGAGCGCCTCAGGGTTGCTGTATAGATTCGTTCAGTTTAATTCATGGTTCAGGTATATGTTGAAAATCAGTGTGACTCCACTGCTCATGTTAATGATGTAGTCAAAACGTATTTGGAGTTGTGTTTGTTTCATTTAGACATGTTTGCTTAAACCTTAATAGATAGTTAGAAAACTCAGGACAATCAAGAAGTGTCCATTCGCCATTCAGTAGACTTGTTCTGATTTTCTTTTAGCTCTTATTTTTAGTCTATTTAAAGTGCCTGATTCCTCAGTGTACTAGCAGGTAGACTGTTCCACCCATATCTGGCAACAACAGCACTTTTTCATGCTTAAAAATCTATTACTTTTACTTGTTCCCCAAATTTCCATGCATACACATTATATTAAGGTGTACGACATGAAAGACCTTTGTAAACTATTATCATTTTCATGTATATACATATATATTCATGTATATATATATATATATATATATATATTCCTTTTCTGACAATCTCACCATTCGCCTCATTCCTAAGATTGTGCATCCTCTGCAATTCTCGCCTTGTCTTGTGTTTTCCATAAGTGCCATCAAGTAGTCTCATTGTTGTTTTTATTTGACAAAACAAGTTTAAATTTGGTTACTACTACTACTACTACTTTGGTTTTAGTTGAATCTTATCCTATAAATTAGACCATGTAGCAGATTATTACTATTACTATTTTGTGAACTAATTAATTTTGTGGTATCTTTTTTATTTTCTTTCTTAACGGTAACACCTATTAATAATTAAGTGTCTACCTCTCTCGCCTTTTCAACAAATATGGTTTGTTAAATCTTACTGTACACTGGAGGCTCCTTTGTCTCCTGACTTTGAATGATCAACATAAACCTATTTACATTTGTCTAAATTTATTTGACAGTTTTAAAGAGCGGCACCAAACATTTGGGAAATGAAGGCTAGTTATCTGAGGAACTTTACCTACATCTTTGTGAGCTGGCTTGTTATGTACATTTTATATCCGGAGACAGGAAATGTTGCCAAAATAGCTCCTAAGTCAAAAGATGTCAAGTGACTGCATTTGTCATGCTGTGACAAAGATCCCGATCACACCACATAGCTGTAAGTCTAGGTGTTATTGTATGCATTTTCCCCTTCTTCTTGTCTCTGCCAACTTCCTCTGCCTCTTCACCTCCAGTGGCAGCATATAAAAAGTTTTGGTGAGCATCTCTGGAATTTGTTTTTGGAAAAAATGCAGTCAGTCTATCGCAAAGAAGTGTCAGCTGCTTAGCGACAGCAGATCCAGAGCCGCGGGGCCCTGTCTGACAAACACGCGCACACCCCTCTGTCGCATAAATACAGTCTCGACATAGACACACTTGTGTACATGCGGCAGCTGTGGCCCCGCCCCTCCAGCCCCAA